ATGCATTCATTATACCTAACAGTTATATTCAACATAAACAATCATATTAAACATATTGAATTCTTTGGAAATAAAATTGAAATTAGCTACAAAGATAATTGTCAAAAACGATTTTATTTTTATAAAATCAGCAATAAAGAAGACATAAAATTTGCAAGAAAGGTTTCTTGCAAAATCAATGAAATACTCGAAGTAGGTCAGAATCTTTGTGAAAGTGAAGTAAGTGAAGCAAATGAGAACTTTACCGAAAGCGAAGCAAATTAGAACCCCCATAAAAGCGAAGCAAATCAGAACCCCTATAAAAGCGAAGCAAATTAGAACTCCCATAAAAGTGAAGCAAATCAGAACCCCTATGAAAGTGAAGCAAATCAGAACCCTCATAAAAGTGAAGCAAGTCTGAACCTCCATGAAAGCAGAGCAAGTCTGAATCTCCATTAAGTGAAGCAAGTCTGAACCTCTATAAAAGCAAAGCAAGTCAGAACCCCTATGAAAGCGAAGCAAATCAGAACCTTCATAAAAGCGAAGCAAGTCTGAACCCCTATGAAAGCAAAGCAAGTCTGAACCTCAATGAAAGTGAAGCAAGTCTGAACTCCCATGAAAGTGAAACAAATCAGAACACCTATGAAAGCAAAAGTAGCTAACCTAGTAAAAATGAAGTTTTTAAAATAAAATATGAAGAACTACATATATTTTATCAAATAGTAAGTTTAATTGTAATTAATTTTATATTTAATAAATAGATTAACTAATAATATATTAATTAAATTAAATAAAAAGATGAGAAGAAAACTGTTAATAAAATTGAAATAATAAAATCTAAAAAAAGAGATGAAAATGAATATAGAAAAGAAGACAAAAACAAATTCAAAGAATGGAATGAAAATGAATATGAAGAAAATGAAAATAAATATGAAGAAGAAAATAAGTATGAAGATAACAATAATAATAATGAACATATATAAGCTATTAAGAAACAACGTACTGATAAGTCTTTTAATATATATTAAATTATTGTTTATTTAATTATTTTTATTTAAATACTTATTTTATTTTATAGGTTTATTAACATTCACATCCACTCAATCAAAAAAATTAGAATTACAAGAAATTCACTTAAATATAATTAGTAGTTGTTTAATGTTAAGTGTTACTTCTTGCAGTTCTAATTTAGATAAAATTGAAATATGCCCTAAGAAATGTGAAGCAAAGCTCAAAAATCAAACAGAAACTGTTAC